CGTTTTTTTTTCGAAGTTGCGTCGCTGCTTAATTTTTACTGATTTTCACTGTGCGTCGTTAGATTTTCGAAGTTGCGTTGTTTTGGATTCGAGTCTTTAATTTTTTTTTTTCCTAAAATATGGCAACACCTTTGTTTTTGATTGCGCCTTCACATATTTTCACTTTGCGTCGTTTCAATTTGCGTCGTGTTTTTTTGGAACGTAACCCCGACGCAAAGCGAGGTATGGGTGTATTTATAATATTTTAATCCATAGGTATAGGGTTGTCTGATGATGTGGAATTTCTGTAATCATCCACCGGGTAATTATCAAATTAAAATGCCATTTAGATGATGAAGTGAGATATAGCAATAATTAAATGAATCCACCGATATTCATTTGCATAATTATTGCTGTGTAATTTTACTTATTTACTTTATAGAAATTATTTATCCTCTAGGTTTCTTGTATTACAGCCTGACGTAATTGTCCTAAAGTTCGCTAAACTTAGATCTTTTTAATAATGAAACGTGTCGATTTGGTCTCTTCTCTTAGAAGTTTTATTCATTAGAGAATTTTTCAAATCTGAATATAAAAATGTATCTTAATAAAATCTATATATAGGTGGATTGGATGTTTTCTAGAATCGTTTTAACAAATGTTCGTTAGGCAAACTTTTACTCGGGTAAAAACCGGGCAAAGCCGGGTACATTCGCTTAATACAGTTATTCACAAATCTTCGTTTGTGGCAAGATACTATTCCTTCAACTTCAAATTACCGAGTGGACCAATTAATATTGATTTTATTCAAATTATCGAGTATTTTTCAACGGACCAGGGAAAATTTTCAAATTATCGAGAGTATAGACATGTAGGGATTGGATTCAGTATTCAGTAGGGATTGGATGTTTGCTAGAATCGTTTTAACAAATGTTCGTTAGGCAAACTTTTACTCGGGTAAAAACCGGGCGAAGCCGGGAACATTCGCTCGTATTATATATGGAGGTTGAGTCTTTAGCTCAAACCTACCGTTAAATGCAAAACCTGTATGAGCCAAACAGTACCATAGGAGTTTATAAGTAGAAAGAATATTATATAGGTGACCCTAGATGAACCGCTGATCTTCCAAAAATATACGTCTAGAACAGAATACACTTATGGAAAAACTTAAGGAAGTTGTACCTTTGAGCATGTATATTGGAATTGAGGCAATAATTCTGAAAGATATTACAGTGACCTTTATTGAAGACACACGAGATAACCAAGTGTGAACAACCTCTGTCTCCTTGTATATGTATGTATATCGGGATTCAGACAATAACTCTGAAAGATATTACAGTGACCTTTATTGAAGACACACGAGATAACCAAGTGTGAACAACCTCTGTCTCCTTGTATATGCATGTATATCGGGATTCAGACAATAACTCTGAAAGATATTACAGTGACCTTTATTGAAGATACACGAGATAACCAAGTGTGAACAACCTCTGTCTCCTTGTATATGCATGTATATCGGGATTAAGAATATAACTCTGAAAGATATTACAGTGATCTTTATTGAAGACACACGAGATAACCAAGTGTGAACAACCTCTGTCTCCTTGTATATGCATGTATATCGGGATTAAGACAATAACTCTGAAAGATATTACAGTGATCGTTATTGAAGACACACGAGATAACCAAGTGTGAACAACCTCTGTCTCCTTGTATTTGCATGTATATCGGGATTAAGAATATAACTCTGAAAGATATTACAGTGACCTTTATTGAAGACACACGAGATAACCAAGTGTGAACAACCTCTGTCTCCTTGTATTTGCATGTATATCGGGATTCAGACAATAACTCTGAAAGATATTACAGTGACCTTTATTGAAGACACACGAGATAACCAAGTGTAAACAACCTCTGTCTCCATAAAAATAATAGACAACCAGCGGCATCAAAGACTCTCATTTTCCTTAAGTTTATTTATTTAGTGTAAATACAGTAGAGGAGCTAAACTTCCCCAACTCCCAACAGTCCTCCTACAGATAATCAGGAGGTCGTCGTTATCTCTCCTTACCTCAATGCTCAGGAAAACTTTGTGTAGATGTATTTACACTCATGGACAAAACTTAAGGAAGTTGTACCTTTTAGCATGTATATCTGGATTCAGACAATAATTCTGAAAGATATTACAGTGACCTTTATTGAAGACACACGAGATAACCAAGTGTGAACAAACTCTGTACGGTAATTCCTGCTATTGTAATTTGAATAAAACTCTGTCCTAAATTTACATCTGTGTTCCAGATTGAGAAGTTTTCAATATACAGAAGTGTCACACTCCAATCTCCTTCGTCCAATAAACCCTTAAGATTAATATGACCATGGCACGCATCGGTAATCTTGACACCAGGGAATTTATAGGAAATAAGAAAAATTCTGGTTCCACTGGTTTGTCCCAGATGTAGAGAGTAGCCAGTCCTTATTTGCATATTTCCCTAGGCATACGTCATATTTCCTCATCTCTAAGAACCTTTATTATGATGTATTAACGCGCCATCTGTTATCAAAATACGAAACTATTTTAGACGCGTATGATTCTTTTTAAAATAAAACAATTTCTACTGCCCTTACTGCAATGGAAAATCAATGGTAGGGCCTGGCTCGTCAGTGGTAAATCTAAGAACCTTCCCGGATAGAACTTTAAATTCACAAAACCAAAATCATTTTTAAAATGTTGACTTCTTTCATCGTTATCCCTAAGAAAAAAAACCTTTAATTATAATGTAATAAAGCACCATATATACATATGTATTATATTATATTTACATATACGCCATGTATATATAAAGAAATTAAACTCTTACAAACAACAAGAAAAAAAAGCTCTATTGAGACCTTTGGTATTATAAAGATTCTCCAAGTAGAAATGTAGGGTACATACAGGAGTAACAGTCATAGTAACAGTGTAAATCAGCCATGTTATTATTGTTTTTAAAGCTAATCACATTTAATGGTAAATATGAAATTGATATACAGGAAAAAACTTAATTGTGACAATTAAGCTTATAAATGGATTGGTCTAGGTAAATCCGAGGAAAATAAATTTCTTTATAACTAATACAGTTAAACCTGTCTATAGCGCCCCCTCTAAATAGCGCCTCCCTCTCTATAACGCTCGATTTTAAATACGTAGTACGATGCGATTTACATTAAAAGTGACCTGTATATAGTACCCCCTCTCTTTAGCAACCTATTTTGGTGAGTCCCAAGAGGGGGGCGCTATAGACAGGTTTAACTGTACTTATATATTTCAGTTTCTTTTTACAATAACAAATCTATGTAGAGGCTCTAATAAGCAATAACTCTATAAAAACCTGGTATTCCTGTTCTTTTTCAATTGCACTATAGGTTTCAAGGTAACGGTGATATAACCCAATGACTATAAAGCGATACGTTGCCCCCAAGTGAGAATTCCTTTTTCACTATTTAAATATAATTACGTTTTATTATCAAAATTCGAAATTATTATAGACGAGTATGATTCTTTTTAAAAATAAAACAATTTCTACTACCCTTACTGCAATGGAAAAATTAATGAGAGGGCCTTGTTCATTTTAGATGCTTATGATTCTTTTTTCAATATTCAACAATTTTATAATGCCATTACTGTATTGATAAATTAATTGGAGGGCCTGGCTCATCAGCGGTGTTCCCTTTCTTTTAATTCTATATGTTAAAAAAAATATATATAGAAAAAAAAGTGGTTACGCCCGGGATCGAACCGGGGACCTTTCGCGTGTAAAGCGAACGTGATAACCACTACACCACGAAAACATGGTACCATGTAACTTTCCTACATTTTATTGATAAGGTTTGATTTCGATTTAAAATGGGTCATGGTGAACCCTCCCAGAAATTTCGACAGTTTTCCATTGCAGTAAGGGCAGTAGAAATTGTTTTATTTTAAAAAAAATCATACACGTCTATAATAGTTTCGATTTTTGATAACAGATGGCGCGTTAATGTATCATAATACGTTTTATTATGGAAATCTAAGAACTTAAAGTGAACTTTGTGTAATAGTGAATTTAGCCAGGACTTTCCACACTACATGTTTTACTGTCCGGTACTGGAGAAGGAAAGAGAAATTCTCCGTCAAAAGATTGGTTATGAAAACAAGTCGCCATATCGTCCCTACAACTGCAAACTATCGAATGTGAAAAATTCAATTTTGAAGGAGAGAGAAATGAAGAGACCATGTGGCCTTCCTCTACTGAGGGTAGGCCACATGGTCTCTTCATTTCTCTCTCCTTCAAAATTGAATTTTTCACATTCGATAGTTTGCAGTTGTAGGGACGAGGCCACATGGTCTCTTCATTTCTCCCTCCTTCAATGCCTTCCTCTACTGAGGGTAGGCCACATGGTCTCTTCATTTCTCTCTCCTTCAAAATTGAATTTTTCACATTCGATAGTTTGCAGTTGTAGGGACGATATGTTCTAATGACAAAAGTAGTGAAAAGCAAACTAAATGCCTTAGCTTTTCACAAATTCAGGAAAACAGAACAAACAATAGACACAACACAGAAGATGGAACCAACTTGAAGAAAGGTCGATATTAATCTCCACTTTCTGTTAGATAACTTCTGTATCTGGGAGAATCCTGTATGGGACGTGTGTCCTTAATAAAGACTTTGTTATTGTAAAAGTTTCAAGGTGTTTTCTAAAACATATTTAATTGAACAAACCCCTTGAAATTGTAATTGGAGAAGTTTTTTTAATTGAATTAACCATTTTTATTTCGAAATAAAACGCTATCAATAAAATCTTTGTATTATGATACATTAGCGCGCGCCATCTGTTATCAAAATTCGAAACTATTATAGACGCGTACGATTCTTTTTTATTTTTTAATTAAAGGAAGTAGAAAATGTTCAAATAATAATAATAATAAAATATATATAAATAAATAAAGAATCAACGCGTCTATAATGGTTTCGAAAATGTTTGTATGTTACATGGTACCATGGTTTCGTGGTGTAGTGGTTATCACGTTCGCTTTACACGCGAAAGGTCCCCGGTAACACCGCTAATGAACCAGGCCCTCCCATTAATTTATCAATCAGTAATGGGCAGTATAAAATTGTTTAATATTAAAAAAAGAATCATAAGCATCTATAAAATTGTGTCAATTTCCTATAACAGAGGGCACGCTGTATATATGTATATATGGAAGCAATGGTCGCCTCTCCCGTCAAAATAAACGTCAGAATCTTACGCCATGAAGAAAGGTCGATGTTAATCTCCACTTTCTATAGATAATGTTTACTTCTGTATCTGGGAGAATTCTGTATGAGACGAGTGTCCTTAATAAAAACTTTGTTGTTGTATAAGTTTCAAGGTGTTTTCTAAAAAAAGATTTAATTGAACCAACCCCTTGAACTTGTAATTGAGGAAGTTTCTTTATTAAATTACCCCCCCCCCCCCTTTTTTTTTAAATATAATTACGCTTTATTATCAAAATTCGAAACTATTATAGACGCGTATGCTTTTTTTAAAAGAAAACAATTTCTACTGCCCTTACTGCAATGGAAAAATTAATGGGAGGGCCTGGCTCATTTTAGATGCTTATGATCCTTTTTCAAATATTCAACAATTTTATAATGCCATTACTGATACTAATATTAGAAAAAAAAGTGGTTCCGCCCGGGATCGAACCGGGGACCTTTCGCGTGTAAAGCGAACGTGATAACCACTACACCACGAAACCATGGTACCATGTAACATACAAACATTTTATTGATAGTGTTTGATTTCGAATTAAAATGGGTCATGGTGAACCCTCCCAGCGGTTTCGCCAGTTTTCCATTACAGTAAGGGCAGTATAAATTGTTTTATTTTAAAAAGAATCATACACGTCTATAATAGTTTCGAATTTTGATAACAGATGGCGCGCTAATGTATCATAATACGTTTTATTATGGAAATCTAAGAACTTAAAGTGCACTCTGTGAAATAACAAATTTAACCAGGATACACGACATGTTTTATTGTCCGGTACTGGAGAAGGAAAGAGAAATTCTACGTCAAAAGATTGGTTATGAAAACAAGTCCCCATATGTTCCGAAGAAAGGTGACAAAGCCACAACACCAACTTTGGCAAACTGATAAGCGTCCACCTAGAGACCATGGTTTCGGGCTAATGGCCCTCGTCAGTCTAGGGCGAACTTTATTCCATGAGATCCACACGGGATCTAATGGAATCCTCACAATCTACCAAAGAGGTGGCGCCAGATTCTGACGTTTATTTTGACGGGAGAGGCGACCATTGCTTCCATGGATTAATTTCCTCCCGGCAAATTTTCCATCTATTTGTATATATGTATCATATTATGATTGAGAAGATTATTGTAGAAACCAATACGTATCTTATGAAAAAGGCATCTCCTTATCGTGCAACTGAAATTTGCTGATGGCTTGCGCCATCTATCGGAATAAATATCAACTATTCTCGTTGATTTTTAATTATTCCAGAATTGACCAAATACCCATTCTTGATTAATCAAGAAAAGCTAACCACGGACGCGTTTTATTTTATTACTTCCGATAAATGGCGCAAGCCATCAGAAACTTTCAGTATAAAAGTCAGTAGACGAGTGGGTAACACCCTCGATTCCCGACAGTCATGAACCGGGATTGAATCCCGCGTTAACATTTTGTTTAATATGTGAATAACCTTCATATATTATTCATTGTTTCAATTATCATGAACTAGGTTGCTCTTGTTGAGCGGTACCTATTTAAGTGATTTTGTACCGGCGGAGAGAAACTTTCAGTTGCACGATAAGGAGATGCCTTTTTCATAATTTATACACCTTATCCCAGTACAATATTACATTTGTACTATCTTTTCATAATACATATCTGCTAACACTCGGATTTTCCTGGAAAATCTCTTAAAGATTCCTTGAAAAAGACATGGCCCACCTGTGCTGTGTGAGCAGAAGAGCTTGAATTGACTTGTTCCATTATATGTATGTTCCATATGTAAATACCTGTTTTCTTTCCTCTTTTCGCTCTCCACTTCTCCCATCCATATTTCCAATTTTTTTTTTCTTCTTATTATTATTTTTTTTCTTATAATCTGTATATATTTACCATATGTATATAATCTTTCTCCATTTTTTATTTCCCACTTTCATAGGTTTTTCTCCGTCTTGTAACCCCAAGGAGAATCCTCTGTAAGACCTGTGTCTTAATAAAGGTTTGTGTGTGTGTGTGTGTGAATACATATCTGCTTCTCTTCTTTAGAGAAAGTGAATTTGGAACACTAGACTGGAAAGTGAAGAAAACTATGTAGCAATACTTCCTCAAAGGAGGCTTGAAGGAAGAGGGAAAACAAACATCAGCAGTAGGAATGCCAAGTTGGACAGAAGGAGAGAGAAATAAAACATTCAGCGCAAGACTCGACCAATTTGCATAAGAAGTACAAAGGGACATTTACTAAATGACAGCATTGTCTCGGAAGAACCTAAAGTGACGTGAGACCTTGGGGGAAACCGACTCAATAAAAAGGTATGCGATAAAACGAGTGGAATGTCTCTTTGTGGAGGGAATTACTGAGAATGGACGTGCCAGCCTGCACTACGCTGATGAGGACCAACAGCCCGAAACGCGTACGTGGTTGGATTTTTTTTGCCAATTCTGGAATAATGATAAATTAACGATTATAAGGTGTTAAGATGTCATCTATTTATATGAAATGGAAGATTTGAAGCATGAAAGTTTGTTTCAAACACGAAACAAACTTTCTGAAAATAGAGCAATCTATACTTAAATCATTAGATAATAAAAAGGCATATGTATTATAAGTTACTTTAAATATTATTTACGAACGGAAAAATACGTCCAGGGTAGCCTAGTGGACATGGCACCTGCCCGGTAAGCAGAAGGTTGTGGGTTCGATTCCTGCCCCTGGACACTTTTATTTTTCCGTTTGTCATTACTCTTCACAATTCATCCTATTATACTTCATCCTTAAAGTTAGAAATAATCGTTATTTCTCTTTAAAATAGATTTCGATTTTTGTTTAAAAGAAACATTCGCGGTATAATTGCAATTTTCGTTTTACAAAAAGGCATATACACCTATCCCCCGATTTACACGGTATTTGTTTTACATGTTTTCGCTTTTACACGGTTTTCCAAATAAGTTTTTTTTTGTTTGTTTTTATCGCACTATACTAAATGCTACTGTGATTGAACACATGCGCTGTGTACACATCTCACGAGGAATCACGAGCTTATGTGCTGACTACATATTTTAACCTGTCAATGCATTTTATTTTTATTTCTGTGTACAGTGTCCCCCAATTTACACGTTTTTCTCAGGAACGTATCTACCGTGTATATTGGGGGATAGGTGTATTGGATTAAATAAAATATTTATTTGCCAATATATTTTGGTTGGCTGAATGCCAACCTTTATCAAGGTATTACCTATTATAACACTATGCGGCGCTGAGTTTATTTATACAAAAATGTAATGCCACGATAAAGGTTGGCGTTCAGCTATCCGAAATATTGACAAATAAATATTTTATTCAATCCAATATATGACTTTTTAAAATTTTACACAAATAAATTTTAACGATAGATGGCAATAAAATTTAATTTACTAATATGACTTTTTATTATCTGATGATACAAACTTTGTAATAAATAAATTTTATCAATAGATGGCAATTAAATTCATAAATATAATACAAACTGCTACTGTCCTTACTGCGATGAAAAAATATTGTCGCGGAGATAAATAAAGCAAGGGCAAGTTTGGGGATAATTAATTTATTATAAGGGGTAATTATATGGAGAGAGAGAGAGTTTTGTACAACTTACCCCCAGTTAAAGCTAATCCTGAATGAACGGCGTTAGCCACCGTCCCGTTTTCCTTATTTACAGATCAGCTTCCCAGAAGCCCCCACACCTGTGGTCCCCCCCCCCCCCCCCGGGGTCCAGGGATGATTGACAGTTGTCCCATCTTGATGGAGCTACTTGACAATATATTGGGAGGGCTTGTGGCTCATCAGTGGTGAACTCTCCCAGCGGTTTCGCCAGTTTAATCAACCAGACCGCTTCTTAGAGCTCTAATACTGTATTGGACGATTTCAGCATATATAAGCCAAGCCTTCCCAATATTTTCCCATCTCAGTAAATACAGTAGAAGTTTGTTTTATGTTTAAAAGAAACATTAGCGTTTTTTAATTTTTTCTATTTCTTATAATCAATGATTAGTTGACAGATTTTTATTTATTTATTGGATAGTTGACACATATTGGTTAACAATTGTTGACAATACATCCAGATGGCACAAGAACCTAACAGGACAATTGTCCTTGTGTGGAATCTACCCTCATATTCTCATGTCCAGCAATGGCCGCAGCCTTGCAGAAAATTGACCCAGAAATTTACACACCCAAGATAGAGGACATTGCCATGAATATATCTTAGGCTCTTCATTGGACACGACAACAATAACCGAAAATTGACATGGACCCAGATCAGCAGTTTTGCACTCCCAAGATAGAGGATATTGCGACTGCTGTGATAGAGATGTACGGAGACATCTGTTCATTGGACATGACAACAACAGCAGAAATTTGACAAAGACCCAGAGTATCAGCTTTACACTCCCAAGATAGAGGACATTGCGACTGCTGTGATAGAGACGTACGGAGACATCTGAGGCTCTTCATTGGACACGACAACAACAACAGAAAATTGACCCAGAAAAGCAGCTTTACACACCCAAGATAGAGGACATTGCGATCGCTGTCATAGAGATGCATGGAGAAATCTGAGGCTCTTCATTGGACACGACAACAACAACAGAAAATTGACATGGACCCAGAGCAGGAGCTTTACACACCCAAGGTAGAGGACATTGCGACTGCTGTGATAGAGATGCATGGAGACATCTGAGGCTCATCATTGGACACGACAACAATAACAGAAAATTGACCCAGAGAAGCAGCTTTACACACCCAAGATAGAGGACATTGCGCTCGCTGTCATAGAGATGCATGGGGACATCTGAGGCTCA